CTCCCGAACGTGTTCTCCTCACTCAACAGTGAGACACAGGCGCGTTCCCCATCAGTCCATACTAACTCCCTCCCAAATGTGTTCTCCTCACTCAACAGTGAAACACAGGCGCGTTCCCCATCAGTCCATACAAACTCACTGTCAAATGTGTTCTCCTCACTCAACAGTGAAACACAGTTGCGTTCCCCATCAGTCCATACATACTCACTCTCTCGCTCATAACTGCTACTTTCTTTCCACTGAATAGTCTTCCTATAGTTTTAAGTTGTTTCCAATTTCTGGTAATGATACAATACCCATACTGTAAACATAGCTTTGTGTACTTGGTGTGACCATTTCTGTGAGTAGGATTCCTAAAAGCAGAATGGCTAGAACAAATGGAACGCACCTTTAAAATTATGATAAAAATAATTTTAAAAAATAAAATTATGATAAACACACCAAGTTGTTCTTCAAAATACTAAATTGTGTGAGAACCAATTTCCCCACTCCTCTGTCAATAATGATATTAACATTTAAAATGTTTGCCAATTTTGAAGACCTCAATGGCATTTTTAATTTGCAGTGTTTAAGCACACTATTGTACACTTATTGGATACTTGTCACTTCTGTGAACTATCCATTTATGTCCTCAGTTATCTTTTTCTTATTGATTCAATATCTTAAAAGTATAAACATTTGAGGGACTTACTTCAAATTCTCAGAAACTGTTTTCGCTTTATTATAGTGTCCTCCCACTGGATTTGCAGCTGCAATGATGGAAGTTCTTGCAGGAAGGCTGCACACCACACCAGCCTTAGCAAGACTAATGCTTTGCTGTTCCATGGCTTCTAACAAAGCTTGATGTTGATTCCCCATCTTATCAAATTCATCTATTCCACAAATACCTACAATCGCAATAGAATAATACAAACACAACCAGTTTTCCTTTGGTCAAGTTCCAAATTTAACAGGACAGAAAGTGTTCCACAATAAAAAATTCTTTCCATTTGTTTCCAGCAGTTAAAATTATAAACTGTCATACAATGGAGAATTGCTGCTTGTTTTACGCAAATAATACACTTGTCTTATTTAAGTTTTGCATAATATTTATTCCCTTAGCAATTTTCACAGGCAAGACACTATTTTCCAAGAGTTACAAAAATGAAGAAGAGGTAAGAGTGACCCTCAAAATGATTAAGGACTTAAATTCACACAAGTGAGATAAGATGTACACACATGCACACACAGAGAGTGCCAAAAAAAGTATATACATTTTAAGAAAGGAAAAAAAGGTATTAAATTGTAATCCTCAAGTCATGTTTGACTTCTGCAATTGTAAGAGATGCTCAGGGTGACTTGTAGTCATCTTATCAGTATATGCTGGTTTTACAATTTTAATAGTTTTTCCCTTTCTTAAAATGCATATACATTTTTTAGCACGTTCTGTATATATTCAAGAAATATATTTCAAAAACTGAAAGAAATATGCTTAACTATATGAGTTTCCTAGGATGGGAGGGAGTTAAAAGAGGAAGGAGAAATCTAGAAAGGTTTTAAGAACAAGGTGCTGTCTGAGCTAGGTATTGAAAGAGCCACAGGATGGAATGAAAAGCATGGGCTGTAAAGTCCAAAGACTCGAGCGCTGAGTGCAGGTCTCAGCAAGCCCAGGTACTGACTGCACACTTGCAGGGAAATTATGTAACTTCTTTAAACACAATACAAAGTGCCACTGCTGACAGAAGGCATTAGCTTGCGCCTGGGATGTTACATCTAATTCACAAGTTATTGGAGACCCTCTAACATCACATTTTTAGCATCTGTCCTCCCTGATCCCCATACCAATCAGTTGAGCACTTGGGGGGATCCCCTCTCAAGGGCAATACAGTGGGGGGACTGCTCTCTATCTACTTTATACCTAAGTAAGTCTTGCTAGCTCAGAGACATATATGGAAAATAACTGCCAATTAGTCTTCTTATTTCAAGCAGATTTTCTTATACCTCTGACTCCATTTCTGGTTCTATTTTGAGGTTCTCAGTTTGTTGTTTTTAGAGACAGGGTTTCACTGTGTTGCTCAGGCTGGAATGTAGTGATATGATCATAGCTCAATGCAGCTTGGAACTTCTGGGCTCAAGCAATCCTCCTGCCTCATCCCCCTGAGTAGCCGGGGCTACAGGCATGCTCCACCATGTCCAGCTTCAGTTTTGGGTTCTCTACTTCTTGGAAGCAATTATGATTAATTTCCTTTGTTCTCTATGTCTACTATTGCCCCTCTAATTATTTTAAGCTTTGTTCTTTTCTTTTGTACTTACTGTGATTATCTCAAGTCCTTCCTCTCTATCTATAATTTCTCATTCAGCAGGGTCAATTTCTATATTAGCCTGTATTTTTACTTTTTGGAGACAGGGTTTTGGGCCCAGGTTGGAGAGCAGTGACCTGATCATAGCTCACTATAACACTGGGCTCAAGTGATTCTCATACCTCAGTCTCCCAAGTAGCTGGGACAACAGGCAGGTGCCACTACTCCTGGCAAATTTTTTATTGTTTAGTAGACATGGGGTCTTGGTATGTTAACCAAGGGTCTTACACTCCTGGCCTGAAGCGATCCTCCTGCCTTGGCCTCCCAAAGTGCTGGGATTATAGGAGTGAGCCACTGCACTCAGCCTATATATTAGTTTTATAATAGTGGTTAGTCATCAATTTGTCATCTCTAATAGCCTAATCACCTCCTCTTGTTTGAGTAATTTCATTAAATGCATGCTCTCACTGAACTCTTTTTTTTTGAGACAGAGCCTCAAGCTGTCCCCCTGGGTAGAGTGCCGTGGCATCACAGCTTATAGCAACCTCTAACTCCTGGGCTCAAGCGATTCTCCTGCCTCAGCCTCCCAAGTAGCTGGGACCATAGGCGTCCGCCACAATGCCTGGCTATTTTTTGGTTGCAGCGTCATTGTTGTTTGGCAGGCCCTGGCTGGATTCGAACCCACCACTTTAGATGTATGTGGCTGGCACCTTAGCTACTTGAGCCACAGGCGCCGAGCCTCTCATTGAACTCTTAAAACACTTGTGGGAAATTTTCATTTGTTCCTTGGATTATAATTTTGTCTAGACTGAGTACTTTTATAATACATGTTACACTTTTCTCTCTGTTATTTCTGCATAGCTGTCATGTTGTCTCTGTCTCGTTCATTGTTAATGAACCCGCTCTGTCTAAACCTAGCTTCTCTGACACAGTGTACATGAATTCTTGTCAATACACTTCGTCCGTTGTAATTTTGACCCATTTTTTCCTGTCCAGCCAACATTTGAAGGTTAGGTATTACCCTACTATTTTGTAACTCAAGGATTTAGAAACAGGAAGCAAAGGGGGCCTTGCTGTACTCTGTGCACCCTTCTTGCTCATCTCTCTTCCCTTTCTGTTAGGAATATGTCCCATGTTCACGACAGGAGAGCCCTGCACTTTAGTCTGCTCCTGCCGTTAAATGTGCTGAGCCCTCCCTGCCTCTGCTAACATCGTAGCAGTGGAGGACCCGAAGGCTTGCTCTCAACTTTCCCTGGGCTGCCCACTGATGGCTTTGTTAGAAAGTCTCGAGATTACTAGTACAGTTCCTCAGAGGTGGGGATGGAGCAGGTGCAAAGTCAAGTTCCTGTGCAGACATTAAGAAATATGTGCCTGGAGTTCAAGGACGGAAAGAGCACAAATTTGGGAATTTTTAGCAGACAGAGAGGTAAAGCCATAGAACTATATAAGATCACAAACAAGGTGAAGTGTGGACCTAGAGGACAAACGGCCCAAGAACCAAGCGCCTGAGGTATCAACAGGTAAGCGGTTGAGGAGACAAGGCAGCAAAGACTGAGAAGGGACGCTGAGTGAAGTCAGAAGAAACCCAGAAGAGTGTGGTGGCCCTGAAACCTAGGAGAGCTTCCAGTGCTCCAGAGAGGAGGAGTGAGCAACTGTGTCAAATGGGAACATCAGGACGAGTGCCTAAAGCTCAGGGGTTAGGGCTCTGGCCGTGGGCACCAGGGCTGGTGGGTGTGAACCCGGCCTGAGCCTGCTAAACAAAAATAATCAGCTGGGCATTGTGGCAGGCGCCTGTAGCCCAGCTACTTGGAAGGCTTAAGAGTTTGAGGCTGCTGTGAGATATGATGCCAAGCCACTCTACAGAGGGTGGTAAAGAGAGACTGTCTCAATTAAAAACAAAGGTGAATGTCAGGAACTGTGAGAATCAGGGGTGCAGTGGCTCACGCCTATAATCCTAGCACTCTGGGAGGCCGAGGCGGGTAGATTGCTTAAGTTCAGGAGTTCAAAAACAGCCTGAGCAAGACTGAGACCCTGTTTCTACTAAAAATAGGAAACTGAGACAAGAGGATCACTTGAGCCCAAGAGTTGGAGGTTGCTGTGAGCTGTGACACCACAGCACTCTACCCTGGGGAATAGCTTGAGACTCTTGTCTCAAAAAAAAAAAATCACTTAAGACATAGAATGAGAAATAAAACATAGTGAAACGTTTTTTAAAAAGAAATGTGGGAATCACTGGCAAACCGAGAGGAATGATGCCCTCAATTAGATTGGAATCTGGGCACGGCCTGACACACGCATAGAAACACGTTTCTTCAATAAGGTTAAGGCATCACTAAGTGAAACTGAGGTAGCAAATCCCAAGGAGATCCGTTCTAGCTGAACCCTACAGCTGGATTTCTTATAAAAGAAATCACTCAAATCCTGAAAAAAAAAACAAAAAACAAAAAAACAAAACTCCAATGAGGTGGGTTAAAAGACAGCAAAACTATTAACTCTAAAGTAACAGCTAATCTGTTACTGCAAGTCTTTCACAAGCAAATGATGGCATCCACCTACTCTTCAGTCCCAAGTTACCAAGAACTGTTCCAAGCTAAGTAACGGTATTTTTTTTTTTTTTAGACAGAGCCTCAAGCTGTCCCCCTGGGTAGAGTGCTGTGGCATTACAGCTCACAGCAACCTCCAACTCCTGGGCTCAAGCGAGTCTCCTGCCTCCGCCTCCCAAGTAGCTGGGACCACAGGCGCCCGCCACAACGCCCGGCTATTTTTTGGTTGCAGCCGTCATTGTTGTTTGGTGGGTCCGGGCTGGGGATTCGAACCCGCCACCTTAGGTGTACGTGGCTGGCGCCTTAGCCTGTTGAGCTATAGGCGCAGAGCCTAAGTAACGGTATTATATTCAATATTTACTGTGAACTTATGTACTAGGCAATGGAGACACAACAGTCAACAAGACATCTAAGTCACACCCTGCAGGGAGTTTACTATTATATAAAGATTCAAAACAAAAGTTAAAACAAATGACCACAAACATGATGGGTGGCAATGAAATGGAAAGTGTAGGGAGCTATACATATTCTATACATATTCTACTTGATGTTTACATATTATTCTCTCTACTACAAGACTCTGAAAATGAATGATATCCTGTAGTATAAATAAAAATGATAGTACTGCATTTCCGATTATTATTTCTGACATTGTCAATTCACTGGTTAAGACTGTGTTGTCTAGATGTCTCTTGAACTGAATATAAAGAAATTAACTGAAAAGGAAAAGGCTTTAAAAAAAAAAAAGCCCCCAAATCACTGATTATTCCCTCTGGTTTCTTACCTTGATCACCAAGTACCAGGGCACCAGCTTCCAAAGCAAAATCTCCAGAGGAACTATCTTTTGAAAGAGTGACAGTCAGGCCAGAGGTGGTCGTGGTATTACCACAAACGTACACACCACGTGGAGCGACATTGCATACTGCCTAAGGAAACAAAAGTTTAAGAGAATCATCTAAAGTAAAAGTCTTTCTGAGAAACTTACACTACTCTGACAGTAGTGTAAGGAAAACAGGATTAACTATCATAAGGCAATAGCTCATACCTGCTAGTGTAAGCCAAATTTTTTAGCCCCACCCTGTTTAGTGGGGCTTATATGTAATACTCTCTGTTTAAATGTTTAATTTCCACTAATATTATGGCTTCTATTTTTAATTGGGCCAAGGTTTGAAAATTAAGAAAAACTCCAATGTAATCCTTTGATATTAAAACCTTTTCAATACCATAAGATGTATTTTGGAACCATTGTTTGCCAAAAGGCATTACTTAAATTTAAAAAAAAGACAGAGAAGAGAAAGTTTTATATAAGCAACATGTATAAATTAAAAGATTTATTTGTAAAGATAATTGAACACCATAGGAGTCATATTAGTATCAATACACAATATATTAATTCCAAAGCACCCCCCAAACACATACACACTGCTTCAAGAGACAGAAAAGGGAGCTGTAACAATTCAGATCCCTACAGGTACCTTTCTCCGCATATTCTAAGGATCCTCTTTTCTTTTTTATTACAAACTTTGTTTCACCTACAGCTGGGGGTACTCTATGTCTCAGTTGTCAGACTTATAGCAAGGGCTCGAAACAGAATTTATTTTTTAAGAAGTAGGCCCAGCTAGCCAAAAGGAACCCAACATAGATGAAATGTCAGATTAAAAATTTAAAATGATGATTGGTTTAACAGCCAACCACAGGGAACAAAGGATGACTCAGACATGAAGCACTGTGTGTTTATCACAAAGTGATAAAATCCAAGCAGTCCTCAATCCTAGCTACACATCAGAGTTACCTATGGAGGGTTATACAGGTATTGATACTAGGACCTTAACTGGGATAAGTCTTAATTCCATTCACATGGGGCAGGCCACAGTCTTTTCAAAGAGCTGCAAAAGGGATTCTGATATGCAGCCAGGGTTCCCACTCTGGGACAAAGATTTAGTAGCCATAGGACTACAATTAACCAAAGGACCAGAAAGTCCTTGGTCTGGTCATAGTTCCACGCCACATAGAGGTGGGGAGAGGACTTCATGGGCTTTCTTGGAAAGGACACTATGGCTGGCTCACCAGCTGTCAGTCTGAGGAAACCATAAGCATTCCGATAAGCAGCACCTTCTGGAGCCATCATGAACCCAGGAGAGGAAAACCACTAGGCTCTAATTGGAAGCAGAATCTTCTTTGGGATCAAAACTGACTGGTCATGAAGTTGTCTTGCTTAGAGATGTATACAGACAGCTCTCACGCCTTTAACAGACTGTTGTTTTTTTGTTTTTTTTTTTTTTTGAGACAGAGCCTCAAGCTGTCCCCCTGGGTAGAATACTGTGGCATCACAGCTCACAACAACCTCCAACTCCTGGGCTTAAGTGAGTCTCCTGTCTCAGCCTCCCAAATAGCTGAGACCACAGGCGTCTGCCACAATGCCTGGCTATTTTTTGGTTGCAGCCATCATTGTTGTTTGGTGGGCCTGGGCTGGATTCAAACCTGCCACCTTAGGTGTATGTGACTGGTGCCTTAGCCACTTGAGCCACAGGCACCAAGCCAACACACTGTTCTTAAAGCCCAATACAGAGTTTACATTATTTATGTGAAAAAAGAATGGGTCACCCTGCTTTCCTTCCTTAAACTATTCTGTTCATAGGTAAAGTCATGTCGCAACAGTAAAGACTAGTAGTGGAATTAAGATCTCAAAAAAAAAAAAAAAGAATATGACAACTAGCAGTCTAGACACAAGCTGGACACAAAAAGGTGTTAGGGAAACAGTTAATGTTGTATTAGAGCATTTCTGTCTCGACCAGGATGTCTGTGTAGCCTGTGCAAAGGAAACTAACTCAAACTAAAAATAGGGTCAGATATAAGTTACATATGACTAACCCAAAGTCCAAGTCACTTATACAACCAAATTTTACCTTCTGGAACATAAATACTGCATGCTTTAAGAAAATTCACTTATGAATTACTCATGCATTTAACAAGCAAAAGGCCAAATACTAAATGACCAAGTGTCTACCTGCAGCATCTGACTCTTTCCTAAGCCTGGATCTCCGACAACAAGGATGTGTGGGTCTCCTCGAATCGGAATTCTGTTTTTGTCATCTGCATATTTATGACTTCCTCCAAAGAGTGCTAGAGCCAAACCTGCTTTAACAAGCTCAAGTGTGAAGAAGAGAAAGAGGGTAAGTAACAGAAGTAAAACATAAAGATGACTAGCAAAAGGGGTGCTCCTCCTTCAGTGTTTACAACATTGTTTTGTTTGGGCAATTTTCTTATAAAGCATGACTGAACTTTAATTTTCTACCCAGAAAAGTCTAAAAATAAACTTCCATAATGTAAATGATTAAACAGCAAAAATACGAACACATGTAAGATCAGAGAGGTGCCTTAGAAATTACTATGACCTACAGGCCATTCATTCCACAAAAATAAATATTTGTTAGTTTCTGCTTTAACAGTATTTAGTCAGTTTCAAAGAAGGCCATTTCTATTAACTTTAATTGGTGGGCACTTTTTCTTATAAGGGACTATAGTATGTCTTTAATATCACTCACTCGTTTATGAAGAATAAAGATTTATGTTAAAATGTGAATGAATGGCCAACAGAAATTTCCTACTTTCAAAAAGTACCTTTTTTGCCAACTTTATATGATATATATGTATGGTTTTTGAGTAAAAATGAAGTAAAATACTTACTTCATGACCAAAAATGACAGGGCAAAGTGAGCTGAAAAACAGAATACAATTTATAAATTCTAACTTGTACTTCATTGTTCTATTAGAAGATCCACTTTACAGTTGAACTTTGAGTAAGCTCTTCAAAATTCTTGCTTAATCTATAAAGGGAAGAATGTTTTAAAAACTGCCTGCGTAAGGGAGATAGGATACTTGTAAAGCATCTTAAACTAACCAAATAGGCTCGCGCCTGTAGCACAATGGTTATGGCACCAGCCACATACACCGAGGCTAGCGGGTTTGAACCCAGCCCGGGCCAGCTAAACAACAATGACAACTGCAACAAAAATAGCCCGGCATTGTGGCGGGTACAGGTAGTCCCAGCTACTTGGGAGGCTGAGGCAAGAGAACTGCTTAAGCCCAAGAGTTGGAGGTTGCTGTGAGCTGTAACGCCACAGCACTCTACTGAGGGCAACATAATGAGCTCTTGTCTCAAAACAAAAGTAACCAAATACACTGCTGATCTTTTCATAGAACTAGGCTTTATTTTAATTATTTATTATTTTTGTTGAGACAGAGTCTCAAGCTGTTGCCCTGGGTAAAGTTCCGTGGCATCACTGCTTACAGCAACCTCAAACTCTTGGGCTTAAGCAATCCTCTTGCCTCAGCCTTCCAAGTAGCTGGGACTACAGATGCCCACTACAAACCCGGCTTTTTTTTTTTTGGTTATAATTGTCACTGTTGTTTGGCGGCCTGGGGCTGGATTCGAACCTGCCAGCTCCAGTGTATGTGGCTGGCGCATTAGCTGCTTGAGCTCCAGGTGCCGAGCCCAGAACTAGCCTTTATAATGCATCGTAATCATGGTCTTCCTCTTTAGGGTACAGGGTGAACTCATTAAATAATATTTTAAGATGAGATAAAATTTCATCTGTTTCAGTTATTTCAAAAGGTCAGACTGATATAAAGAAGTGTATTTACATGTATTAATTTCATAAACAAGGAACAAAAATGGACAGGGTAAAAGAAAAAACCATCAGGAGTAAAATGTGAGCCCTAATCCCATCTTAATATATATAAATACAGAAGTTAGTGTCCTTCCCACAGCCCCTTGGCACTCATAAACACTGCTGGTTTCCTACCAAGCACCTGCATCTATGCGCCAAAGAGCTTTCGATGGCCACAGAAGTATCATCAGCAGGCAGGATGAGCATGCTAGAAGTGCCGGGGTGTTTAATATCCTTGGCAGCAGCCCCAAATCTAGGCCCTTAGATGGAAAAATACTGAGGCTAGTTTTCAAGCGTTTCAAGGCACCATGCGCTGACTGACTGTCATCCTCTCTGTATTACTTCCCCCTTTTCTCCTACCTCATCAATAATCTACAATTACCCAAATCACTGCTGCTGAAGAAACTGAAACTAATACATAACCTACTGCCACCGTCTTCTCCATTCTCCTTTCAGGGCCCTCTGCATACTATCTAGCATGGGTCAACAAACTTATAGGGAAGGAAAGTATTTTCAACTTTGCATGCTATACTGTCTCAGTCACAACTGCTCAGCTTATAGTGTGAAAGCAACTACTGACAATATGTAAATAAATTGGGTGGAGCTGTGCTCTAACTTTATTTACAAAAAGAGGCAGCCTGCTTAGTTTGCCAATCCCTGCTAAATGGTGGACCGTGAAAAATTCTAGTTTTGATGCTAAAATTATAAATATGGGGGAAAAAGCAATGGTGGGAAAAAAACCCTCAAGTTTTTTCATACTAACTTATCTTTTGTATGTATGGCAGAAGAAGGACCACTGAAATGTTCAGATTTTATTGTGAACTGGTAGGAGGAATAAATCAAAGGGGTGTTTGGATCTTCAACCAGGTAGCCCGGGGGCTGTCCGCTCAGAGTACTCACCCCTGGATAACTCCCCTTCCTAGGTTAAAGCACTCTGTCTCTCGGGGTGAGTCTGGATGGCTATCTATTCAGAGAGAAGTCTCTGAAGGTTTAAGGATAAAGAACCCCAGAGGCACTCTATTCTTCATTCAGTTGGCTAATTAACATATTAAAGACAAAATGACAAAGCATCAAATTCTCTTAGACCCCAGATTCCAGGTGAACAGGAAAGTACAAGATCAATTTTTCTAACATAAGGCATTTCCAAATCATCTTTGTTCTTTACCTCTCTTAGTATACTAATTCATTCTCTCGTGTTTTCCCCTATTTCCTCAAAATCATCCAAAAAATTCTTTAAAAATAAAATAAAATTATAGCTTGTTGAATTAATTATGTTAAGTACATTTTAAATGTAACTTAATCTTCAGAACAACCTTTTGAAGTAGGTTTTATCATTTCCATTTTTAGATGATAAAGTGAAGGAGAAACTAAGGAACATACCCCAGATTACACTAGAAGTAAATGACCAAAGCAGGATTCCCACTTAGGTTTGTGTCCAAAGAAAAGCTCAACCACGTTAGCAAAAATACCTCGACTTTGCTCCTTCCCATTGCATGGCAATAGCATGGAAATAATGACTATTATTAAACACTTATTGAACGTAAGTGACTTCTATTCAAATCTCTACAAATGACATCCTCCATACAACTAATCAAAATGGCTTTGGAATTCGTTATTCTCTCTTCTGTCATACAACAAACATCTCTAAGTATCTCTTACTGTTTAAAGAGATCAGCAAACTTTTTCTACAAAAGAGCCAGAGCTGGCTCGGCACCCATAGCACAGTGGTTATGACACTGGCCATATACACAAAGGCTGGCAGGTTCAAACCCAACCCAGGCCAGCTAAACAACAATGACACTGCAACAAAAAAATAGCTGGGCATTATGGCAGGTGCCTGTAGTCTCAGCTACTTGGGAGGCTGAGGCTAAAGAATCGTTTAAGTCCAAGAGTTTGAGGCTGCTGTGAGCTATGACTCCACTGCACTCTACCCAGGGTGACATAGTGAGACTCTGTCTCAAAAAAAAAAAGAAGAGCCAGAGCCATACCTGAGAATACCTGTGAGCCATATATACAATACTGTCATAAGTACTCAGCTTTCCCCCCATAGCACAAAAGCAGCCACAGATGCTATGTAAATGAGTATATTATTTATGGATGCTGAAATCTGTCTTTCATATAATTTATGTTATGAAATATTTGTTTTATTTTTTTCAACTATTAAAAAATATAAAAACCATTCTTAGTTCACAAGCCATATCAAAGTGGGTGGTGAGCTAGATTTGGCCCATAGATTATAGTTTGCCAACCATTTTGACTAGCTTTTTATGACTTATAGTCAGGAGCACCCCCAGCGTGTGACTATGTAATGAAAGTTCAGATAATTGAATACATACTTGACAATGAGTTTAAACAGGTTTTCTTCAGCCTGAATTTCCTGGATGGCATAGAGGTCTTTAAGGGAAAACTCCATCAATGTTTCGTGCTTACACCCATCCTCAGAAGCCTTTGCTTTCTGTCCTTTGCTATTGCAAATAGAATTTGCTTCAATGTACAAAAGGAACATGCACTTGTCATTCTTATTTCGAGAACCTGTAAATTCAAAGTATTAAATACAGTAATTGGTATTTTCATTTTCTCTACAATGACTCAACTAGAATGTAAAAGAAAGTCACAGTGAGCTACAAATACATTTTTTTAAAGGAAAAGTTTCACCTTACACAAGCAACAAGGAATACTCTGAATTATTTGAGATTCAGAAGGATCTTAAAAAGAGGAAAAAATGAATATTGACAAATTATTATTGAGAGACAATCAAAATGAGGAAAAGGGTTGTACCATACCTTCTTCAGCATTTGAGACTTTGACAATTCCATTAATAGTCACTGTGTCCCCTGGGACACAGCTATCCACAAGATCGTGTACAAGTTCACATTCTATTGTTCGTGGAATTCGACCTGCTTCTCGTTGATCATCAGACATCATCTCTTGGATCCTAAAAAGTCAAACAAATTCAACATATTCATAAAGCAAAATTTGACAGTCAAAACTCCTATCTTCTTATTTAGGCATGAGAATTCTTGAGAAAAAAACTCCCATCTACCTACAAAATAGCAGAGAAAATCTATACCACTTAATCCAAATTCTTCATCAGACATTTGAGGACTAAATGGTAATAGGTCAGGGAGAAGAAAGGCATTAAGAACATAAAACTGCCTAAGAGTTTTGAGAAAATGTTGCCATCATAATACAAGAATAAGCTGCTAAAAACTTCCAAAATCAGGAGAATTTATTTTATATATATGTCTCTATGTGTGTGTCTATCTCATACATTTATGGAAAGGATACTAGAAAAAGCCAAAGAAATCTATAAAACACCACAAATAAATGAAAGGAAGAGAAAAAGTTAAGGCAGATAATAATCCAAGGGCTGCGTCTGACAGGGTGCTAAAAAGAAAACCCACTGGAGAGTTGAAGACAACTTCAGAACAGAAGAATGTGTGTCAAGCAGGGTGAGGACACAAGGAGATACACCCTCAGGCTTCAGAACAACACAGATAAAATGGTTACAAAAGAGGGGAAAGTCCAGTCCCCTAGGAGGAATAAGAATCAGACCAACATTAATAGCATGAAAAATCATAACAAAACAGACTTCAGTAGCCAGGAAAACTCTTACCCAGGCTAAGAGCTAAATAAAGACATTTTCAGACACACAAGGACCCAGAACATTTTACTTCTCATGCATGCTTTCTGAAAATTTAATTGAGAATATTCTCTAGAAAAACAAAATTCGAATCTTACAAAATAGAAGACAAAGCCCAACAGAACAGTGTGCAGTCCATCTGAATCAGGGCTGCAGGCCTAGAGAAGGACTGACCAGACTCAAGCAGTGCTTATAGGAAGCATATTTTTGGGGGGTGGTGGTGGTTGTTTTCATAAAACAAAAGGTGATTCCATGTATTCCACAGTGTATTTAAGAGAGAATGTAAAAATCACAGGAAGGCACATTCTAAGAAGTAAAACCAGCATTTAGAAATCTTAGAAAAAATAAAATGCTAAACAAAAAACTTACAGTCCAAATATAATATGCTAAATTGTGATAATCCTGAATGAGTATAAGAAAATTTCCTGACAATTTGATTTTGATACTTGGAACCATATTTTCATTTAAGGAACAAAAACAAAAGCAAACAAACAAAAAAAGCCCCACAGGCTCGGTGCCCATAGCTCAGTGAATAGGGTGCCAGCCACATACACCGAGGCTGGTGGGTTCAAGCCTGGCCTGGG